TAAGAGATCGATTCGTCGGTTTGGTCAAAGCGGAAAGGAGAGAACTCAACTGATCAATTTATTTTCAACGGTGGACTGTAGGACATCTGTCGAGTCTCTTTCTTAATAAAATTACGTAATGCTATAAATAATGTACCAATATTTTAAATGTCATACATTGTATTATAATATATGTGAATAACTGTAAATATTATAACAAAATGTACGACAAATTCTGGAAAAAATTAAACTCTGTTATTTATAATTATTCTCTTAAAAATATTTTGAATAATTATTCTTAAATAATTTATCAATTCAATTCATGATTAAATTGCCATAAAATTAAACACAGCTTACCGAATAATACAAGTCCGTACTAATAATACGTGCATTTTTTTCGTTAAGTATTACGTGGCTGACAATGTCTTCCGCAAATTTCAAGATCCCGTAACAAGCGACACATAATAGCTTTGTCACTTCGTAACATTTCTGTGACAGTTTACGACGTGACGCGACGAGTGAGATCGAAAAATGCGTGACGATTCTCTCGAATGAAGGCGGCAACGAGCACAAGAAGTCAGTCGAGGTGCAGAAAACGATGACAACGTGGTCGAGCACGTTTAATACAACGACGCAGCGGGTTCACTAACAAGATAATTAAGCCTACCGAGAATGTTCTTGTCCCCCAGTTTTTGCTGGTCGCGTGCTGATATCAAGCAGAGATGAATGAGACACGTTCGGTTTCTTTACTTTCCGTTGCATTCCGTCCGTGTCTACGATAATTCAGATAATAAGCTGCACACACGGCTCGAGTACAGTAATAATCGTCTTTTACCGTTAAATTACTTAATTTAGCTCTCAAAAAAAATCAAGTGATCGCTCTAATACCAAGGCTTGCATATTGCATATTAATAACAGAAATACGTCAGAATAAAAAGAGTTAAGATGCATAATAGATTTTACAAAATCTAATAAAATTGAAATATACTCCTCGCAATTTTTTGTATATTATAAAAAATCGAAAATATTTTATCATTCATTAATTATTAAAATGATTATGAATCGAAAGGAGAATCAGTCCGTCTGACTATACCGTGAGAGTCTACAGCTGAGAAGCGTCTATGAAACGCAGTCTTCCTCAAAGAGGACGACCACAGCGTGTCTACCATCATCATCGTCGTTGTCGTCTAACTTTGCGTAACTTAGACTCGACGCGAGAGTATAACTTTAATTACAAAAGTTGGCCGCATTGTCTAAGAACACGACGTACGGCAAGAAAGCTCGCGCAAGCTCGCTCTTTCGTGCCGACTAAAGTTTTCCGCACCGAGACGCGGAACTCGGCTGTTTGGCCGCCAGACTCGGAAGAGTATGCTCGGAAAACACAAGGGCGATGTCTCCTGGAGCACGATACAATGCAGAGAAAGAGAGAGAAGAAAACCGCGCTTTCTCCGAAAGTTAGAAACGTGTAGATGCCCTCATATGAAAACTTGACACGAGATTATGCAGTGTTGTGATGTTAACTAAATTGTGATGTAAAACTTAAAAATACGATGTTAAGCAAGATCGTCACGTTTCAATTGTTGCCTAAGTAAGATGTATTATTAGTTATTTATGTTTGTATAAAAAACATATTAAAATTACAAAAATTTTAAATTTTTCAAAAGAATAGAGAGAAAGATATATGATATTAATTTAAATTGTGTATTTTTTAATATGTGAGTTTCAATGTAATTTTTAATGTGATCTTTAAAATCATATGCTTAGAAAAAACAGCATTACGATAAAAAAATTGTTATCTTAATGTATTTTAGCAGTGTTTGATTTTTTCCAGATTCTGAAATAAATTCTTTCTCTCAGTATTATTTTTTATTATTACAACTGTTGAAACTGTTGAAATTATTTTCAATTTTTAATTTTCGTATAATTGGAATCTATTAATAATAATAAAAAATATTTTTTGGAATAATTATGTACTGTATATATATATATATATATATAATCTGAAAATAAGTATATCTATCTACCAGTTCTTTCTATTCTATTTCACAAAAGCTTGACGACAAGATATTTGCTATCGAAATAAATATGTCTAATCTTATAGTTTTTATATTATATCGGATCATTCTAAATCCTTCTAATAAATGCCACAGAAGCTCTATACCTGTTAACGCTCGAGATGCTGCTAAAGAATCACCCTACATATCCAGAGCTATCGCTCGTTTTTATGTTGATCAGTAATCCGAGAAAAATCTCGACGCATAGAAAAGACGGATGCTCAAAACGGGAGATAGAACTAAAGGGAAAAAATGAGAAGCAGCGAGAAACTAGAAGAAAGACGAAAGACGGTCCTGGAATATTTTCACGATAGCGAGGTGAAGGAGATAAGAAGGACTCCCGGGAAAACTCGTCCTTTTCCCTTTGGAGAATCGTAGCGGGGATATATTGTTCACCAACTATATTTAGAATAGTAAACGTGTTGCTTCTGTGCCGCGTACTAACTGAATATTTCACGCCGCTCTCGCTTCGCCGTCATTGACGCCTTTAAAGCACCGGATTGCACTCTCTCCTGCATCTCCGACTTCCGCCTTTGTGACCTGCAGCGCATATGTGCGTTCACTCGCGAAAATATTTACTAACGGTATCGATAGCGGATCTCAATACTATAACTAGCAGCATTTATATTTCTTATCGATTAAAGACGATAAAATATTAAATGCCAAAGTAATGAATAAATAATTCTCCTTCGAAGCTAACGAAACATATTAAATAAATTTTATGTCACATAAAAAAAATTGTTAATATCCTAGCATGGTATAAAAAGTAACTTTTCCGAAAAAGTTCTTTAAAAATGCTATTCGATTTTACTTCCAATTTTGAAATAGAAGAAAAGATATATTCTAAGAAACTAAAATATTTCGGCATTATTAATATAGCGAATGTATTTGTCGTGCCGTGTTGTAATATTTATTAATTTATAAATCTATCAATATTCATATAATTATATCAAAATCTTATAAATATATTAATATTTATATAATATTATAAAAAACTTAAATAAATTGTGAAGTCAACTTATGTTCGATAAAGTGATAAGTTTCGCTTTAGAGTTGATGGATATGTATCGAGATATGCTTTTAAATATAGCAACACAGGAAGTATCTCATTTTCATTATTTCGTACAATTTACATATACTAAAAGTTATTTCTCTTTTATAGCGCTAAAACCGAATATACTGACTGAGATATATCACGGTATCGCAGCATTCTGCAGAAAAAGACTGTGGTTCCTGGCACAAGAGAACATGGCAGGAAAGAGGACCTCGGGAGGACAGGAAAGGAGACGAGATCCGTAACAATCAGAGAGACAGAGAGAGAAGTAAAGTCTTAAGGCCGTTGCAAGGCGGAGCCCACGAAGGTGGCAAGGGCGGAGCTGAGTAAGGTTTCAGAGGCGTGATGTATCGACGAAATTCCAAAGTAAGAAGTTATACGGACTCGGGAATCCGAGAGGAAACTCGCGCATCTCTCTAGACTTTTTCCTTTCTTCTGCTTCTTCGGACTTCTATCCGATTTACGTCGCGCTGCTCGACTTATCATTTACGCCGATATTTATATTTTAACTGCTTTGTAGATTAGTTCAAATAAATAATTTTCAATTATTTAAATACTTTCATGTATAAAATATGAAAGAAAAAAAGAGTCGACTCTTTTTGCAAAATTTCGAAAACAGACTCAAATATTGTACATTTAAAAAGATATAAAAGCAGATCTAATTCGCGAATTTCAAAAATTGTAAATAAAAAAAATTCAAATAAATTTCTCGAACTCTCAGTTTCCAAACTGTTTAAATTTAAAGATTTTTCAAAAATTTGAAAGCTCCCATGCGAACGTCATCGTGCGAAAAAAAAAGCGCGAAGTCACCATTCCATCGCGAAGGGCTGACGTTGAAGTAAACGCTTTCGATCGAATGCGCTCTTTCGGACTCGAGTAATTCGGCGACCAACTCGAGCGGCGCCGGTTTAGGTCGGCAATGTTTAAGGGCGGTTTTATAGTGTCCGGCGCAGAGGTCAACCTGGTCTCGGATACATCACCTCAGACCCCTTACGTCCCCTTGATGGATCGCGGGCTCCCTCGGTCCCGTCGTACGCAGTATTCGACTTCGATTTCTCATCCCCGACAACGGATTACGCACCAAATGGATCCATATCCATCGCGGTCGCGAGCGCGCGGCATCGATCATTTTTCCAGAGTGTGTGATATATTTAACATTAACCCTCGGACTATTACAATATCTTGATAACGATAAGATTTATTCTTAGAGAATATATTGAAAATAAAATTGTATAATTGAAAACATGAGAAATTTTATATTTAAAAATTAGCAGAGTTTTACATTCAATTATTTTCTCTATATATCTCTTTCTCTTTGATGATTAGGAAAATTGTTAATATATAGTTTTGTCGGTATACTTCAATATCTTAAAGTACTAAACTAGAAATTAACATTAACCCTCGGACTATTACAATATCTTGATAACGATAAGATTTACTCTTAGAGAATATATTGAAAATAAAATTGTATAATTGAAAACATGAGAAATTTTATATTTAAAAATTAGCAGAGTTTTACATTCAATTATTTTCTCTATATATCTCTTTCTCTTTGATGATTAGGAAAATTGTTAATATATAGTTTTGTCGGTATACTTCAATATCTTAAAGTACTAAACTAGAAATTAACATTATCGGACTTTACAGCGATAAGATCATGAGAAATTTTATATTTAAAAATTAGCAGAGTTTTACATTCAATTATTTCTCTATATATCTCTTTCTCTTTGATGATTAGGAAAATTGTTAATATATAGTTTTGTCGGTATACTTCAATATGAAATACTAAACTAGAAATTCGCTTTACAGCAAATCAATTGCAACATAATTTCAACGTTCAATATTATCGTGTCGTATCATATGAAACAGTTTGACTCCTTAATATCTTAATAAACTTATCATCTAGCACTCACCCTTCACGTCGAAGGTGCTCCATTGCATTCATGTCCGCTACTGCATTCAGATCCGGACGTGTAAGATTTCTGCAATGCATACAAAAAAATTATGTTGATCAAAATAATAAAAATTGTAAAAATATTTTTTAACAAATTTTTTACTATTAGCTAGATTCTACTAGATTAATATTTTTTTCTCGGTATTATCATTTTCAAACGATCAACATCAGACGAAAGCTAAAGGGACGCGATACGCGTTTCAATAACGAGACATATCCCGTTTGCGACTTCGCGTGCACTCCGGTGCATCGAATCGAAACGAGAGATTCTTCGACTTTGATGTGGCGCATTCTCGCACACTTCTTTCTCGTATCGTCGGAGACGTTTAATCATCGAAGATGCGAGCGGCGCCGTCATATTTACACGGACGTATTCATTTCGGCGTTTCGTTGTCACCGTACTTTTCGTTTACTCTCGAGCTAACGTAATGACATCCCGCGCAAATTACTTTCCGAATTGGTAGCTCCGGATCTAGTCATGTTGATAGATCACAGATTTCCGCAGCATTTGCACAGATCTATGCGTTACAGAGGAGACTTACAGAGGAGAACCAACAAGAAAATTTGGAACCGATTATGGTGTCGAATATGAAGCTGATCAATATCAGGAGTTGGGACTGAATTTACAATAAATTTCGTATAAAAATAAACTGTTACTTGTACTCTCGTTAATTCAGAAAAAAATTAATATATAAATATTTTTGGCAAACTTGATTTCGACGTAACTAGCAATTTTATTTAATTCTTTCACGACGTTTCGACCATTTGGTTGTGGTCCTTATCAAGTGAAAATTCTATAACATAATATTACACAATCGTTTTTACCAATGTTGAAACATACAAGAAACTATCTAAAGTTAAGTTAATAATATAAATATAAATTTTATAAACATACCCATTAATTAAACTGAGATTGACGCAACATCAAACCGGTCTTATTTAAAATTAATAGTTAAAAGAGGAACACGTCTCATCGCTATGATGTTTCGTCAACGACTGTTATGTCGAAACGTCGTGAAAGAATTAAATAAAATTGCTAGTTACGTCGAAATCAAGTTTGCCAAGTTTATTTTCACCACTAGCGTCCAATATCAATTTTGATTGATCAATATTTTTTATAAAAGCCATCGTCGTCTTTTGCGATGATCACGTTAGGCATTCTCGCATATGTACGCATACGCACGTACGTAGGAACACATCGGAATATATCAGATGGCATTTCGCTGTACGTTCAGCGACGCGCCCCATTCAAAGCCGCCCTAATAGAAAAATGTCACGGAATGTCGGAAATTGGAAAGCTTATTCATATTTTTTTCGATACACGTGCAATGTGCGCGCGATATCGCGGATCGCGGTCGTACTTTCATTTCGCATGCCTAACGCGAGGAGCGCAACCCCTCCGCCTCGTCGTGTCGTGGGATGAGAAAGGTGGCGGATGCCGCAAGGGTTCATTCAGAGACGGTTGGGGGGTAGAGGAAAACCCGCGCGGATTGCGCTGGTAAATGCAAGCGAGGGATGATGCCGGTGAGAGAGCAACCCGCCATTCATGCGTTTCATTTCTAGAAAGCAGCCGTCGCGTATATATTATATATACGTACGCGAGGATACACAAGGTATTTCTCGCAACGAGCTTTTTCAATTTCTTCATCCCCCGACGTTGGTACGCGATCGAAATGTCGAACGCGCACAGCTACTTATCCCTGCGATTGCGTCTCAGGGCGAATGCAAATTAGAGAAAATATTTTCTGCGCTTTATTAGGCTAGTTTTTATTGATACTTCTTGATTATGAAAAGATAGATGTGATAGACTGGTACGATTTTGTATATATTAATATTATCGAAATTATATATACAATGAAGTTTTGTTTTCAACATTATGAGTAATTTTTAATAATTAAAATTATTAATATAGTGTAGAATTAGATTATTAAAAAAATAATCTTTTTATTTGCAGTTTAGAAGATTCGATAAACTAGAAAAATTGAGATAAATATTGATATAATATTATAAAGTACAAATTTTAATATACTTTAATTGCAAAAATTGATCAAATATATGCAATAAGAAATAAAGTGAAACAAAATTTAGAATAAAGAGTTCTAGAAAGTTAGGATAAACGTTACATTAAATATAAAAAACCAGCAAATTTTATAATTAACCTTGATTAAAAAAAACGTTTTATGTGCTGTCATATCTATAAATATATTATAAAGTAATTAATATAGAGCTATATATAGAAAAATTAAACACAATAATTTCAGCAAAATACAAAGAAAAATAAAAAAAAGTCTCGACAATTACAGTTATGTCATAAGCGATGACGAAGACAACCTATTAGCAAGAGGTGACAGACATTAGACGGAAGATTGGCTCGCTGAATCGCGCGCGTTCGCGTTTTCCTCTGGTTGTACGACCTAAAAATAAAAATCGTTCTTTCGGCAATGCCCATGTCACTTCTGGCAGAAACGAAGAACGCGAGGGGACAGACGCGAGAAGCGGCACCAACGGGCGTTGGAAATTAGACACACGTTTCATTTCCTGGAGCGACTGCGATTTCCGTCGTGGCTTCAAATATTGGAAATATCGCGCGGCAGCGTTCAATTTACCGCGCGATCCGATCGAGTTTTATAAGCGCGGAAAAAGCGCGAATATACACGCTGACGTCCGCCGCGAGAACTACGACGACGACGATGATTTCGCCGAGCGCTTATCCTCGAAATCTCGCTGTTGAAAAAGCGTTATTCTCTCTCTCTTCGGGATGATAAGTCGGAAAATTATTTTCCTCAGTGAATGCGCCTAAATAGGAACCGAAACGTATAGTTATTTCCACGTAGTCTTTTTTAAAACGTTTATCACCAAAGTAAGAAATTATTCAGTCATACGAGTATATCTCTTGTGCTTGATTAAACTCAATATATATTTAAATGCATGATATCAGCTGTCCTAGCTATTAATTTTAATTTTTTCTTTTAATTATTCTGCTCAATTTTATCTTCTCTCCTCGACGAAAGAAGAAATTTCTATATATCTAAATCCGAATTGAATTACTCAAGAAATATATCGAAAACAGGCAGAGTAAAAGAATCCGGAAACAATCGAGGGTGCCGTACGTCAAATCCAGGCATTATAACGCGCGATGAAGATGGGAAATGACCGGCACGAAATGGAAGAGCGTGCGAGAAAACGAGAGAGGTCGACGATGCACTTTTATCGGCGCCATAAACACTAATATAATCCCGAGACCGGGGAGAAAGAGAACGCGAAACGCAATAGACTGAGTGGTGGATGTCGACGCGCACACATACGCGCGTACACTGTGCACGGACATGGGTCGGGGTGTTTTTTAGACGAAGTGGCTTTTTGCGGACGACAGGGCATTTAAGGGAATTGCTCCCTAGCGCCTTAACTCGGGCTCTCGCTGCCCTTTGCGCCGAGGGCGAACACCGGACGTCCACGTCGTTTTAGCGCCGAATGCGTAAAATCGCATGTATCGATTTCACGCGCCATTAAACTGCCGACATTCTTGACGCGGACTTCTAATTTTATGAAAATTTTTAGAAAAAATTATTTATACGAAAGAGAGAATTAAAGTCGAAATTTTCGAGAACGAAAAAATTGGCTTCCTATAATGTATGGTATTCCGTATTGTATTTGAGAATTACTCGCGTGTGTATTGCATTTGAAATTTTGAAAGACAATACAAAAGTATTTAAATAAATGAATGTTGTATAAAGAGTTATAGATAGAATATAAATGCACGCAATAATGTATGAATGCATAATATAATGTGATTAATTCGAAAAAACTGATACAAGAAATTTAACGTAAAATTTTAGAATTTAAATGTTGCGAAAGTATATGGAAAGTTCTTATATAAAAGAATTTATTTCTCTATGCGCGGAAATATATTTTTACTGCATAAAAATGTTCCTTGATAGCACAAATCTATCGATTATATACATATATTTATAAAATTCACGCAATTTTCCGTATACGCGACTCGACAAATCACTACCTAAAATCGTATTTTTTAACCTTGAGTAACGGTGTACACCCTCTAATACGAGCCTTCCGCTCCTTTCCAGATCAGTCTCTGCTACCCTTATCCTTAGTCTCTCCTTCGACACGAGAGGTTTATCCCCGTTGAGTTATTTATGCGATTTTAGAACCCATGTGCGCCACCACAACCCCAACACTAACTGGATGATAATCCCGCCGGGGTCGCCGATCCACTTTAAAGTCCTATCCGTAAAAACCATCGCTCTTAAACATTTTAAACTTTCGCCGATAATGTTCCGCCTATTATAATATAACTTATTGGAATAAGTTATCCATCTCTCTCCCAATAAAAATATTGTCTATAATACACATTAGTTTATATATAACAAATTATCGTTTAAATTTTGAGATTATACTTTCATAGATGTATATCACAAAAATAGTATTAATACATTATATTTTTCTTTACAATGTCTTGTTATTATTAACAAATTTCTCGTGTTTTAAGTTTGACATTTCCAACACATTAGCAAAAATAATTAATAAATATGAACAAAAATTACTGCATATATAAATTTTTAATCTTCTTCGGTTTAATCCTGAATCTTGACAATAAACGATTAATGAATATGTGTGACAATAAAAGATTAATGTAAGAGACTTGTTTTAAAAACGCTATTATTTTAATTTTGAGACAAATAATAACAAAAAAAAATATTAATATATAAACTTGTCTATCAATCTTAGAAATGGTATAATATAAGCAATTAAAATTTCAGATAATAATACGCAAGTTAATTTCTCGAATGCTGGGAAGATTCTATTTCTGGTCAAAGCGGTGCAAACTGCTAAAACGACGCAAGAGCTTTCTCGAATGTCTGGCTCGCTTTAAAACATGTTACTTTGATTGTAATGTCGCTTATTCTCCTCTACCGCTATCGTAAGACTCCTTGTTTCCTCCTTTACCTTCCTCACGCTCTCAAACCGTCTTTTCCAGGCTTTTCCAACCCCTTCTCTTTCTCCCTCTCT